CCGAAATAATCCGCCAAACGCATAAGCTGTATGTCCTGCTGCGTCTCATTATACGAAGCCTATCCAACCCAACACCCATAACCAAACATCAGAAAACAGAATTGAATCCCAATTTTACAGAATTTGACAACAAACAGAAGCGATTAGCATCTCTCACAGTTATATCAGCCAGAAAGGCGCCGAGATCACCGGCGTCCATCTTCGACGCTGCCTCCGCCACCGTCACCTTCGGCTTCTTCGGCTTCTTCTGCTTCACCTTCTTCACCTCGCCGTTTTCGACGGCCGCCCCGGCCACCTCACCATCGCTATCACCCTCATCGTCGTCATCGGAAGTCCGCTTCGATGCGCCGGGTGCGACGTCCCCGGAAACGGCTGCGGCCTGGGCCTCGAGAACTCTCCGACGGCGCTCCTCGGAATGCAGCTCGATCGGCCGGAACACGTCGGAGGCGGAGGATACGACACCGTCGTGGAGATCGCCGTTGGAGTCCGCCGGAAGCGCCTTGGAGGAGGATTTCCGGTTTCGCTTCGAATACGAAACCGTCTGCCACGCATAAGCGTCGCTGTTTTGGGTGAGCTTTCTGCCATATCTCTGTGCCTCCTCCTCCTCTTGCTCTCTGAGAATTGCTTCGATCAGTGCCGATGAACTTTCGTCCATGCTGGCTTCTCTTTCTCTCTCTCTCTCTCTCTCTCTCTCTCTCTCTCTAGATTTATGGTTCTTCTTGACTGAGATAGTGAGGAAGTAATGTCGAGATGAGAGGGACGAAGTCGGGGGCCTTTGAAGGAGAGAGGACGAGAAAGGGACTCTGCGTCAAATGACACGTGGGTTATTCACATTGATTGTGATGACGGATTTGTCCTTATTTCACTCGCCATTTAACGTGAATGCCATTTATGCGTTTCGTTCAGTAGATCTGATCTCCTACGACAAGGATGACGGACCAAATTATGGAATATCGACCCCATTAAGTAAAAAGATAAAACAAAACCTTGAATCTGGTAACACAAAAATGTCCACATTTTATCAACATTAAATTTAGTTACTATCTTGGTAAATAAAAAACTAAGAATTATGTGTGCCAATGCTTGTCTTATTTAAATAAATAATCGCGACAGATTTTAAGATCATCTTTCCTTATATTTTCTGTATAGACGTTATCGTTTTACAAGTGATATCCATATACTAATAATTTGGTACAACAATAAACTCCGCACTCAATAATAACTTAGTACAATAAACTCAGCATTTTTTTTGTACGATTTTTGTATAATTCATATAGTAATAACTTAAAATAAACTTCTTCAATATCTCGTCACAATACAAAGTGTGAACTGTATTGTAATAATGGAGTACAATAGAATGGGCCAAATCCTCTAAGGGCCCCGTTTGGTGGGCTAGATGAGATTGGACTTTAGGGATAGAATTGGATTGGTATGAACTTATAAGACATGACTTGTAACTCATGTGTAATGATAGGTTAGATAACTCGATCTATTGTGGATTCGTAACCTATCATGTCCAATTATGTCTATCTCACATTTTAACATAACAAATAACAGACTGTACTCAAATCCACTTTAATTGGTCACAATCTATCTCATCCAACTCACCAAACGGGGCCTAAAGACCTTGATCACAAGGCATAATTTGAATGATGGGCATTGTTTGACTTTACTAGGCACTAGCCATAATGTGTAATTAGAAGGTTGGGCACTCATAAATAAACTCAACCAATACCTAGTACCTGCTACAATCAATGCTGTAATATGCGATGCATTTTTCAAACCAGGAAGTGGAAAAAGAGTGTGCAATTTTCAAAGGAGCAATAAACTAACTTGTAATTGCCACCCACCCACAAAGCAATAAGTACCAAATTTCGATTCATGGCAACTTCGTAATTAAAGTCAATCACTGGGGGCAGAGCAAGATCCCATGTGAAACGAACGAGGATATCGTTTTCTATTGTGGGATTGTGGGACCCACGCCGCAAAGCCAGTAAGAAGCAACTTTTTTTGACATTTGCAGTTACGCTAATCCCCAATCGCTCTCCCAAATCCCCAACAGCATCCGCCGTATCTTTTCCTCCTCACCGAAAAAATCACTCACATGTCATCGTTACATTGACATTGCATGATAATAATATAATGATGTATGTGAATTTTTGCCTTATAATACATATAATTGTTATGTAACGTCACACATATTTGTGCAGCGTAACGGTTGAGGATAAATCTCACACTAAAAAATAGAAGGATTTTGCATTGTTTTTAAGTAGTCGGGATAATTTTTTTTTCTAATTTGTTTAATAGTGGAACCTCAACTTTTGTTATAGTATTAGAGAATGTTGTGTCATTTGTTAAGTCCAACGACCATACCTGCTTCATGTCATTCAATTCACGTGTTAAACTTGAAATTGCACCAAATTGAGAGTGATTCCCAAATTGAGAAATGAATGACCTTACATGTACTTATAAGTAATTTGATTACTTTGCATATCACCTATTAATTTTATTGCGTAACCTCAATTTTCTTCAGTAACAATTGAATACACAGGATCCATGTAGTAATCTAAGCACCTTGTTATCGACATTGTCTGAAATTTATTCAATATAAAAAATATTCTTGTGGAAATAACGAAAAATCAGAAAAAGATATGGAAAGGGACCCATATCGGGAAAATTATTAAATTTTGGTTAAAATCGACAGATTTCGTCAATATTTCAGACATATCGGTTAACCATCGACAAACTACCATATGATATTCCTTAAAGCTTCATTGTACATTTTTATGTTTTTTAACAAATTTCCATCATTTTCATTAAAGGCAACTGATATCAATAACGATATATCTATCAATATTTCTATGAATATTTCTATGAATTTGCATATCGATATTTCCATCAATAATAATACTTTAAAGATTGGGTATCGACATACTAAATCAAACGGCTGAGAAGTAGTGGGTTCAAAACGTCAAAATCTCAACTTGATGCATGTAATGCTAAAGAAACCAACGGTGTGGGTGACTGGGTGTGTGGGGGTCGGGGTGGGAAAAGCAAATGCTATGAAAGTTTGTCTTGTGCTTTGGCAGTTACAACTATTACAAAGTTTGGCTTGGATCGGATTCCTTTTTCCAATCCGGTATTCGTCGGGACACTTGTTCAATATGCAGTTTGAGGGTTTGTGCATGCCAATCAAGTAGCACCACTAAGGCAAAAAGCTCCATGGACCATTTTCATTTGACCTCAAGTGGGAGGAAGACTCTTATTATATAGCAAGACCTAGATGTAAATCTAAACTGTAGGGGTATCCTAAGCTAATTGAATGAAAGTTAAAAACACGTGACAGTGTATGATAGATATGAAATATCGTAATAATGTCATTTTTCATGTTTGGTATGTTTACATTTAAGTGGAGATCGAAAAAGTTAAATTCATGAAAATGCATTAAGTAAATTACTTAAGAGACTGTCACGTCATTTCCAATGTTAGGTAAGTTTATATCCAAGTGGAGACCAAACAAAATAAATTTAAAAAAAATACCAGTGATGATAGTGAAGTAAAGCTATTGAGTAAAATTAGACAAAATCGTCTGGGTGGTGTAGTCGGTTATCACGCTAGTCTCACACACTAGAGGTCCCCGGTTCGAACCCGGGCTCAGACAATTTTGAAAGGTTGCCGATTTATCTAAGCATGTGAGCTTTCTTTTTTTTGACATTTTTTATTACAAAAGTCAACCAAGTAGAAATAATAGAAATTCTCCCCGGCACATTTTTCTTCACGAGTGACTTCACACGTGAAAAACAAAAGTGCGGGTGAAAAAACTGAAACATTAACATGCATGTAGCTCGACTTGAGTGCACCACGTTAAATTGCAATGTCCGGTTTTTACCCTTACACTGTTTGCAATGTCTGGTTTCCTCATCCAAATACAGTGTTAGGGTTTACAACGCAAATACAATACACCATTTGTTTTTGTTTCATTCAAATTAGTGCATGTAGTTTATTGTCAAGGGTTGCTTGCTTGTAGTAGCAAAATGTGAATTCAAGACTTACACCCAACTGGTGCTGAAGCAATGCATTGTATTATTTGGTGTATTTGGGGGATTTCCATTTTTCACATTATGGAAGATAGGATGTATTTCTAATCTGTCAATGCTCCATTACACATATATTTTGAAAGTACGACGTGATAAATTCACAAACAGAATTCAATCACAGAACACCGGAATCTCGAGTAATGTCGGGGAGCTACTTCTTTTATTTAATTTTATTTTTTTAAAACATACGATATTATCTACAACTCCGCCTATGTAAGTTTATCTTACATTGCCGGTCCCAAGCCCGGATAAAGGAGGAGGGGGAGGGCGTCAGGTAGTCGACAGCCGGCACTCCACAGTTACGTCGAATCCTTATGACAATGAATCCAGAACGAAATCGCGCTAAAGCTAGGACGTCACCCGTAAGTGGCGCGCTGTGTGGCCCGAGCACAGTGATAAGTGAGCAAGGGTCGCTGTATCTCCATCAGCACCCGGATGCAGTGTTAAATGAGCAAGGGGGCCATAGAAACTTCTTTTCGAACGACTCCGCTCAAAGTTGTTTGGGAGCATATGCTCCTATGAACTTTACACAGGACACACAAAAGAAGTACTTTGACGCGCAATGACGTTCTAGGATTCATATAGCCGACCCCACTTAGTGGGAAAAGGCTTTGTTATTGTTGTTGTTGTTGTATACGATATTATCTACACCAAGGGAGGGGGAGGGCACCGCTTAACCTCATAATGGGCTAGCAATAATGTGATTCAAACTCACATTTGACGAAAATCGAATCTGAGACCTCTCAGTTACAAGTGAAGAGGAATACAACTAAACCGTAGTACTAAGTGACAAGTCGGGAAGCAACTTAGAAACAATACCCGTACAGATACGGAGATGGGGGACGGAAGAAAGTAGCCATGCCTCATAAAGTGAAGCCACACCTATGTTACTGTGGTGTGCCAGCAATCAAAATAATGATGGGAGATAAGTCAGACAGATCCAAATGCCTCAAATAATTGAGTTAAAAAAAAATGGATTTCTCTTTCACGCATCTGATTCAATCACGACTCTTTTTTTGCTGTTGCACAGCTATGACTCAAAATACTTTCATGGGTATGAAGGGAAGGCGATTTTAAGGGCCGCCCTTTAGAACAACCCAAAAAAATGCAGAACAAGTATTTAGAAGGATCACTGTAAAGGTAGCAGAATTTGAATGCAAGTAAAACCATAATGCTATGTTTGGGTGAGGGATTAATAAGCCCAAGGGATCGAGACCAATTAGTAAGGAGTAGACTACAAAGTGTTAGACGAAGGGAATTCGAAAACCCCTCCATGAGCATTGCAAAGGCATGTAGGAGGGATTTGCAAATCACTACTAGGAAGGTGTCATTTGCAAATCCCCCTCACTTGCCTTTGTAATGGTCACGGAAGGCATTCCGAATACCCTCACTTTGTGGTTGCACGATTTACATACTGAGAAGGATAAGTTTACCTGTTAAACGGCATAAATCTAACCTGTTAGCCTATCTGATGGGTAACTACCTACTAGAATCCCACTCCATAGATGGAGAGTGTGTGGATTCAATCGTGCTTGTGTCTAAGGTACATCATGTAGGTTCCCAACTACTTAATACAATATCTCAGAAGATCGAAAGTGAACAAATAATTCTGGCCGAAGTTCCACCATTGAGAATTTGGGATAATGCAAATATCAAATCCTATCGATGTGGAGAACTCTCAGTGTAGGACATACCATTGACAGACACTCTAATATATAAAATTGGCATCACATACACAAAGACCACCTATTGTAATGAAGGCCGAATTCTATGTCTAACATGTACAAACCTTGACTACGGATTTAAGAACTATGCATCAAGTAGCAAATGAAGATATCTGAAGTAATCACCTCCTGTTTATCTAATATGGTAAAGGGGCGACCCCAGGTCAACAAGGGCTGGGGGTGGGACGTCTATCGTACGCAGCCTTACCTGGGCTGTTCCCAAGACTCGAGCCCGTGACCTTTCGGTCACAAAGGAGCAACCTTTCTGTTGCGCCAAGGCTCGCCCTCGTGATATCTAATGTAATCACGTAAACAAATCAATTAGAAGCAATTAACAAAACGAGTAAAAACAGATGAATTAAATGTGCTTATTCAAACCTAAACCTTCTGTTCTGTATGATGATAAGAACGAAATTTACAAAGTGTTGAAAGAATAAAGAGAACAATCTACAGCAATTCCACTATCATATGTCAGTTCCCTATACAAAATATAAATGTAATTGTAGAAAAACTCATACTCACATATACTCATTGCCACCGATTCGAGTCTTCGAGAACCAACCTCAATCTCTGAGCCAACACATCCAATTCAGCAAGGCGTTGGAGCTGCCACTGCGTCTCGAAGTCCATTGCAGTCTTCCCCTCATTCGAAGAACCCGAACCCGAAGCCAAACGAACCGGGTCAGAACAGAGCACACCCTGTTGAACAAGAAGCATCCGAACCTCATTGAGAGACTGATCAAACACGTCCAGAACACTATTCGCCGCCAGCGCAGCAATGGGCCGTGCCAACTCGCTCGTCGTCTTCACCTCATCGCCGCTATCATTTTCGACATCGAGATCATCCGAAACGCTCTGGTTCTTATTCTGATTCAGATTCTCATCCGCCGCCGCCAAATTATCAGACTCTCCGGCGTCGCTCTTTTCTCTGTTACCGAACGGGGAAGTGGACCAGCACTCGGGGCTCCAGAGCTTCCTGGAGAGGTCGTACAGGGCGCGATCGTGAGGCGAGAGCTGGGACTCGCAGAGGCCGCGAGTGAGGCGGGACGAGACGACTCGGAACTTTTTCCGGAGGCGGCGGAGCTTCTCGGAGAGCTGGGATTTGGTGTAGGAGTGAGAGACGGTGGCGGAGAAGCGGCCGTAGAAGAGGCGGAGGTCTTTGGGGAAGGAGAAGCCACCATGGGAGGCGCAGTCGAGGAGGCCTTGGAGGAAGAGAAGCTCGTCGGGCTCGGTCCAGACTCGGTGGTACTTAAACGGGGGCGTTCTGGCGGTGCTGAGGGTTTGGGCATATGAATCTGGTGGGGTTGGGACGAGGACGACGTCGTTGAAGTCACTGAGGAGTTGGGGAGAGAAGAGGTTAGGGTTAGGGTTAATGGAGTCGGGGTTTTTGCGTTTGATGGGGAGCTTGGTAGCGGAGGAGGGTGGAGGGTAGAGGAGTGGGCTGCTGCATTGGGATTGGGAATGGCGAAGAAAGGTAGGGGTAGGGGTAGGGGTAGGGGTGGAGTCCATGGCTAACCTTGGCTCAGGGAAGTTTTGGGTGGAAGGTTCAGTCAGTGGCTGACTTGTGACTTGCTTTTTGTTTGAATAGATGTTTTTGGTTTAAATCTTATAAATATTGAGCTTGATAATATATATATATATTTTTTCAAGTAAATCTATCATTTCAATTGATAATGTTCATTGTTCCTTAATAAATAAGTAACAATTTTTTTTTTCTTTTAAATAAAATTAATAAGCATTACGAAACACATATTAGATGAATGTACAAGAGAAATGATAACTAGACATTTTTTTTAATTTTATTACACATTTCTCTTTGTTTCTTACAATTAGATTTAAATCAAACGGAATCAATGAAAAAATTTAGGGTTTAAAGTTTCTCCAATGAAAAACAACAATGTGGGGACACATGATGATTAATTGAGAATTGGGTGCTGATTTCAACACACACATTTTTAACTTTGTACACCCTCTGTTAATTCTGACAATTAATTTTACTTTAATTGTTGAATTTAACAGCTACAAAACAAGAAATGTGTGTATGAGAACAGATGTGTGAAAACCATTTTCCTTTAGAAAAAATAAGTTATGATAACAAATGGGGCTGTGAAGCTTCATTACTTGATAAACGCTTGAAAGGTTGAAGTCCCATCTCAAGTGGAGAGCACGTTGTATGCCATTTTTTTTATTAGGATAGGATACGGATAGGACTAGTCCCATATCTCTGTGTTTGATAGGATAGCACAGTGGCTTGTCCAGATGGTATTGCTTGCTAAGCACGCTGTTTGGCTATTTACTTTGGACGGCATTGAGCGAGAAGCTTCATGTTACCAAAAGGGAAAACTAAAAATAAAAAAAATCAAATATTTATCAAACGGCCTAAGGCCTCGTTTGATGCTCAGGATTAGCTTGGATTGGACAAACTCACTGTTCATTTAATGAATGTTGAATGAAAATATGGATGTCAACTTGCATATTTTGACCGAGTGAGAGTAGAAGGTGAAGAAATCGTAAAGAAAACTTGTCCTTACAAAATCTCCACAAAAATGGTAAGACTGAGAGTGACAAGTTTTCGTCCTGACTTCTTCATCTTCTACCTTCACTTGGAGAAAATATGCAAGTTGACATCTGTATTTCTATTCAACATTCGTTGAATATAGTGGATTATCCAAGTCAAGCCAATCTTAGACATCAAACGAGCCCCAGGTGTACTGGGTGTCTTCGGTTTCCGGCTTTCACCTCTAGTTTGCCTTGGTGCCAGTTGAATGTTTTAATTTTTCCTCCATAGCTGCTTGTGTTTGGTGCCTTTGCCGCAAAGCTTGTGTTTTTATCCTGTTAGCTGTTAGTGTCGTGATATTTCTACAAATAAGTAAAGGGCACAGAATTGGCTACAGCCTTAACTACGTACCCTTATATTGTAAGAAAAATGTCATTAGAATCTGAATAATGTACAACCATCGTCACCGGAAGACAACAATAGCAAGGCATCTCTCGGGCGGACGCTTTTGTTGACACTTCGATCTGTCTATCAAGTGGTCTTTCGTTAGCATGAGCTACGGGAGTTGCTATTCATCCAGACTTCTTCGACTGCACACCTATCCTCAGATCCTCCAGATGGTAAGAAATTGTTGTCGAGAAAACGTTCACCGATCACTAGTGTTACAATGCAGAAGATGTAAATCCCATAGGCTTGAGTCCATGGACAATTGAATATCAATCTGGCAGGGAGATATTTCCAATTAAGATGGACGGATGCTATAGATGACAGGCAGAGGGTCTTATTATGTGACCAGAACACTTGATTCGAGTAATGCTAAACGGTTTTTGGTGAGAGTAAGCTTCTCTTCTGTTTCTGCCGCCTTTTCTTGCACTCCACGGACAATATCCTCAGGAGCTTTCTCTACAAACTGCATGTACAACGCTGATATCGTCAGAGGTACATGATACCTGGGCATGCATGAACAGCATGGGACGGAACTATACTAAAGAAAGAAAGGACTCAACATGCATGCATCATAATAAGCGAAATTTTCTAATAGTTCCAGCTATCCTAAGCGAACCATTATGTGCAAGGACTTTTTGTTTATATCTAGTTATTCCAATGCATCCTACTAAATGTTTTAGGTTTTATTTAAGTTTGGTTACTTTTTACTAATTATCCCTGTTAGCAAAATTGAAATCCAATCATTTCATTCGATGGATCTTTAGGGAAGAAGACATGTCAAATACTTTCGCCTATCAATGCCAACTGCCAAGTGCTTGAACATGATTAACAGAATTCATACTTTAGGAGAGCTGAGCCGAGCTTTAAGTCCATCATATTCCGCCTGCATCTTGGAAAGTCTCTTAGATAGGCGTTGGATTTCGGCAGTAATATCAATCATGTCAGCAAGAGGGAGATATGCCTCTAGTCCTTCACCAGCTACAAGGTGGACTGATTGATCCGCGTTCCCTGAAGTAAAATACATGACATCCACCAAAATATATGCCTCAACATCAGATCATATAAATCCATAAAAATAAATGACAATAAACATGAACATTTCCGGTCCTTTGTCAAATGTAAAATAATCCATGAAGAAATGTGCCTGGAGGAGAATCTGTAAAATGGACGTTTTGCAAATCCAGCCTGGACAGAAGAGTTAAAACCTCCTTTTCTTTCTGCATCAAAATATAAATTCAAATATTTACGTGAGTTAGTGCGAATGATAATTATGTCCAAACATATATGCACATAAATAAACAACTTATCAAAAGAGCAGGGACAGCAACTAGTCATCTCAATTTTCACTGAAAAAAATTTGAAATCCGAGCTCAGATGAGACTTCAGACGCATGAAACTCTCGAAGAACATATGCATGATTCAGCAATTAGGACCAGTCCTGACTTCGTTTTGCTATATCAGGCCCATGATTGGCCCAGTGGGATCTCGCACAACGGTTTCATGGGGCATGGACAGCTTTACGATATGATTTATGATTCAGTCTGTGGCTCTATAGTGTCTACACTAACAGGAAGGTCCAATAATGATCCACCAATTTTCTATACAGTCACAGTTCATTCATATCTTTCTTACTATAAAAGTGCAAAATAATACAGGAACATACTTAATAAGCACCTCATCAGCTCTTACATTTTAATCAAGTGCAAAATCATGGCTGGAGAATGAATACGTACCATTATGTATTCAGTGACTTCTTCATTTGCAACTATTGATGCTGATATACGCTTTACAGGCTCAACAGAATATTCTGCTCGAGCATTTCTGATAGCTCTAGTCTAAGAATAACAAAGAAGCAAACTTAGTGATTTAATTAATTGACTACAAGAAAAATATAGAAGATACCAGCTGTGCCAGATGGACTTGGATATGGAGCAATAAACAAGGACGTAGGAATATCTACTCACCAATGCCTGTAAATTCTCAAACTTTTTAATCGAGTTGCTCTGCCTTGGAAGTGAAGTCAGTGGCCATGGAGATACAATAAGAGCTTCTTTCCGAAAGGGGAGTGCCTATATCAAATCAATCATTCATTTTAACAGTGAAACATTATCAGGGATAACAGTACAATGAAGGTGAACAAGCAGTCCACCTATAATGCAGCAGTCCACCTTAAACCCTAAGCAAAATTTTCTTATTTTAATAATTAAACCTTAAGAAAATAATAAATACCTTATCGGTAGAGAAGTTGAATTTAACACAAATGGTGAATACAGTGAATCAGTTTACCTGCCAGAGTTCCTCGGTCACAAATGGCATAAAGGGGTGTAGCAATTTAAGTATGTTTTCAAAAACATACAATAGAACTGCCTGTGTGACAGAAGCAACTGAATCACCACCAGAGTGGTAAAGACGAGCTTTGCTGGCCTCTATATACCTGCATAAATGAAAAAAGACAACAGTTGACAAAGATGTAATGCATCTGAGTTAGGCAGAGCCGCAGAAGATATTAACAAAAGGAAAAAGAAAACGGTTAACATTTTTTTTCTGTTATGTAGTAATAAGAAACACACTTTCTTTCAATGATAAAAAACAGAGCAAAACAATACAGGGAGAAAGTTGTCCAGTCATCTGCTAGGCTATACAAAACAGAGATGAACCTCATAGTATTACATAACAGCAGACAAAAAGAAAGCTGTTAAAGTAGCACCAACCCCAAACCAGGGGAGAGGTTGTCCAGTCATCTAGCTAGGCTACACAAGGTTGTTCACAGTATCCAATGAACATTCTTAAAGTAGCAACCAACCCCAAACCAGCAGGCGCTGGGCTTGACACATGGATTGTTCTTGCATAAATTGTTAAAGCTAGAGTATCCAACCAAAAACCAATTGGCATTGAGTGGAAAGTCTAAAAACATTGTAGATTTCCATGCAAGGCTTAGAATCCACAAAATTTTATGTCCTAAACACCTTTGGAGAAGTGTTCTGCCAGTTTGTGTTTAATTTTTCTTAATGAATAGATAGGAACATAAGATGACGCTTTCAATAATTATCTGATGGTAAACATTTGAATGAAAACTCCAAGCATACCAATCAGCAAAATCACCCCAAAAGAATTCATACGTCTCTCTTCCAACATCTCCAAAGAAAAATTTGTCATAGCTTGCGGTGACTGTGTCAATAAGCAAATGAAGTTTTGAAATCTGAAAAAGGAAGGAAAGTGAGTGGTTAAACAAAGAAGTAAAATCAACAGGCAATAAAGAAAATTAACCTGACAATTATCTTACCACCCAAGATTCTGGTAAGGGTAGCTTGTCTAGGAGATCCACTTTATCAAACTGAAAAAAAGCATTGTCTTGAATTAAGAAGCAATACAAGTAATACTCAACATCCTATAATGTAAATACAACCACTGCTAAAGTACAGTAAGATTGAAATTTCTAATATTTAGTGGAGAAATGCAAGATACAATTATGGGCCATGATATGATATAGCACCAGATGATTGCATCTTATGGAATGTGGAGAGATAGAGTGGTTATGACATGTACATGGAGAATCTATTTGATTCCCATTCATGAGACAATTAGCCAGTGTGCTATTGGCTAATTTAACACATTGTATGGACAAATTCAGAGAGTAAAAGTGAGAAAGAAAACCATAGC